TCCTCTGAGGTAGTGGAGGATGTGGCACCGGACTTTCATGATCATCGGCGACAGCTCCTCCTTGACGTTGCGGCATTGGAGGCGTGGCGGCGCGTTGGTGGCGTACCATGGTAGGGATGTTGGCTTGTCCTTGGCGCAACGTCCGCGCCGCGGTTGCACGGGGGACGGGGCGATGAGGGCTTGCCTTCACTCGACGTCCAATTTGGATGCCGCGGTTGCTCTATGGTGAGACGGGCTCGTCCTTGACCGGACGGAGCGGGGCAAGGTTGTCAGAATCGCGATTCTGTTATACGATTCTACGACTTTACGATCCAAACTAACTCCTCTGATTCTACGATTTTAGTTCATAGAATCTATGTTTTTACGATCCTGATAGTGAAGATTCTACAATTTGCGATCCTACCATCAGAGCTCCGATCCGATTCAAAATCGCGATTCTGACAACCTTGGAGCGGGGACACCGGCACGCGCTTCACGCGGTGGCCCAGCGGGGATGGCGGCTCCACCTTTACGCTCACTGGCGATGATGGCGACGGCTGCATATGATGGAGCAAACACTTCGTCAGTAGCTCGATCTGACAGACAAATTCTTCGTCCATCATCGTGGCCTCCAAGAGGATGCGGGGCCACTGCTGCGGTACCTGGTCCTCCTTCTCGCTGGAGGAGATGACGATCTCCTCCTTGGAGGAGGAGCTGGTCGTCGTGGATGCCGAAGGGCTCCGAGAGCGACGGCGGTGGCACCAAGAACTACTGGAGAAAGAGCTCAGGCTGACGCCGCCAACCTGCGCAGAGCAGCATGACTTCGGCATCACCTCTAGGATCGGAGAGGAGGAAGGGCTCTGCGAGGTGGGTGACAGGAAGGCGAAGTGCAGCGGTGCTCGGGGGATGGGGGATTGCGGCTCTTTGCTTCACCGGAGCATGACTTATATAGCGCGACCAGGCCATGCAAAGGGGCGGTCAGCCCGCTTCAATGCAACGTAGCGGACGGAGTTGGTTCCTCGGGAAGCTGCATCCAGATTGAAGCAACGGTTGCCGTGAGGTCGCGCCAGTCAGCGCCACCCTCTATCCGGTCACATCGTGTGGCATCAATGTCGGGCGCTCCGTACTCTAGGGCGGCATGAATGCAGCGCAGTAAATGGCGCGTGCATCAGAAGGAAATCGCGAGAGGAGCGGATAAGGGTTTTGGGTGGGCCAGTGTGGTCAGAAGCGGGCTTGGGAACGGTTCGGACTCCAGCAAAGCTCCCCCACGCTTGTCTTTGATTTACGGGAAAATGTACATCCGGACCGTGCCGCGGACCAATACAGACTCATGTTGGATGACGGTTCAAACATCGCGATCCGAACGTACACAAGAGATTTGAGGGTTGATGTTGAAAATGCGCTAAAGGCATTTATAGAGACAATTTTTCAGTAATTCTAGAGTGCACGCTTCGTTGTGCGTCATTGGATTTCAGCTTCTGGTCACCGCGTGCATGTTGCGATGAAAAAGTGACATCATCGTGGCATCACGTAAACACTCCGCAGCGGTGTTCAACAGCGGCGTCACATCATGATGACGTCCTTGATTATTCATACTCTCTCATGAAGTCAACAAAATTAAGTTGTATCTTACTTCGACTCTACATGAATTATTAACAAAGGTAACAAGGTCGACTCAGCCGACTCTTTGGTTAAGAGTCTGTGTTTTACTATCTCTTGTGTTCACTTTCTTTCTCATCACTATTCTTCGAATAAGAGTTGGACAAGGAATACGGGTGTAGATGCTCTAACACACAAACTCTTTTTTTTGCGAGGACTCTAACACAAGAACTCTATATATACTTATTTGTTTATTTTTTGAGTAGGCAGAAAGTCTGAATACTAGACTGAATCTAAGCCTTGTAACAACATTCATAATGAAGATAAAGAAGTTACAAATAAGCCCAAAGAAAATACATCCTCATCTTCAACTTGCACATGACGTGACACACTGTTAGCCTAGCTCAATGCCCAACTCACTTTAGTTGCGTCAAGCGAGTCAACAAATGTTATTAGGAGATGCCAGAGTCGATGATCCAAAGCATGATTTGCCGATTTGGAGAACAAGACGAAGGTCAGACAAGGAAGCCCAACCTCACGTCGAAGCCAAATTAATCATTGTATGATCTTTTAGGTTCCATGTTATCCATCCCCGGTCTTGATTTCAGGAGCAACTAGATGCACACCAGGAAATAATGAATCAAACAAGGTTGTTGTGTAGACTAAATCCTTAGTTTTCTCTGTTAGTTGAAAAATCAATTGAAAATGGCACTCAAAGATAGAGTACGTAGGGCTAAATTGGTCTTTTAAGATAACTGAAGGATAAAATCATGTGAAAAACATCAAGACATTGCATAGGTTTATGAGACAATTTCTCGACAAATCGGTCAATTTGGAGCTCTTTGAGTTTGAATTTCTGGTTTGGAATGAGTGTCCCCACCCCTTATGTTCATAGTTGCCTTAGGATGTAATCATGATGTCATGTATGGTTCATAGTGTGCGATGTAATCATGTCATGTATGCATCATTGCTATACTATACTCTATCTGGGTGCTTTAGAAACCACTCATGTATTTTTGGACGTTACCAACAAAATATAGTGACGGTCACAAAAAGTATATTATCAGACTAACATTTTTAAAAAGTTTCCTTCGGCGGTCATGATGCATCCGGGCGAACTGCGGGGACTTCACGCTCTACTGCATGACCGTGCTCCTACCGCCACCTGAGTAAGGCATCATGACAAATGCACATAGAGGCCTCCCATTTTTCTCAAATCCACTTAGCTCAAATGTGTCGCCGATATCATGCCACAAAGTAGATCACAACCCCCGCCCCCTCACCCCAAATCACCCCACCGACATCTCTGATGGTTAGTGGACACTGCCCGTGCCAACATTGTCCTAAGGCCGTGTGGCGGGCTATTGCGCCCAACATCCACGAGACCTCCTATTCCCCGCATCGGACGACACAAGACGCCTCCCTCCCCCAATGCAAAAATCACCACCGACACATCTAATGGTTGATATTATTTAAGTGGAGACTGCCCCGTGCCAACATGGTCCTAAGGCTGTGTGGCGGGCCATCGTGCCCGATGTCCACGAGACCTCCTATTCCTTGCGTAGGGCGACACGAGACAACCCGCTCCCACGCGGGCTTTTTAGGCCGACCCATCTGCAGGGTGGGTGGCCCTAGCTTTCACATTTTTTATTTCCTTTTTTATTTATGTCTTTAAAAATACTAGGAAATGCATTTTTCCTTTTTATTTGTGCTCATTAATTTTAAAAATGGTTTGAATTTCTAATAATGTTTTGACTTTCTAAAACCATACATTTTAAAAAGTTCCTGATTAAACATATGTTCAAGAATTAGAAAATTGCTCCAGGATTTAAAAAAAAGTTCACGGATTTTAGAAGATGTCCATGAATTTTAAAATTTGGTGATGAATTAAATGAATGTTCACAAATGTCAAAAAAAATCGAAGTTGTTTTTTTCACAAATTGAAAAAATGTTCAAGAATTTTAAAAATTGTTCTTAAAATCCCCAAAAAATATTCCCAAAGTTCAAGAAATTTTCACAAATTTTAAAAATATTCCTGATTTTGAAAAAAATGTTCGCCATCTTTGAAAATGAAAATGAAAAAAGCAAAAACACCAAAAGAAAAGCAAAATACCCCGATCTAACCTTCCCAAAACAGGAAATGAGGGCTAGTTGGGTCGGCCAAGTGTACATAGCAGATGAGGTCAAGCGACATGTTGCTATGCTCCAACCTATGGGGTCGGTCGACAAAGTTTAACTTAATAAATGAGAATTCAATTCGTCATAACATATCCCCCCCTTCCTCCGTGTCGCCCTCCTCTGGCGACACGGGGGAACCCGGGCTACCGCCGCTAGCAGGCACCTCCCCCGCATTGCCACCACCGGAGGGCTGGTCGGTGAAGCCACACCGAGCCCCCAGGAAGGTGGCGGTGGGGCGGATATGGCACCTCGCGTGCTCCTCCACTATCGGCGCCACGACGACCCACACCCCGGCGGCTGTTTCCTACTGGTTCGGTTGGGCTGTCGATGTGCCCTGACCGTGCTGAGTTGCGGATCCGGTCTCTCCTCGTCGACCCCCCCCCCTCCCATCACTGAGCTCCATACATGGATGCGTCGTGCCTTGGCCGCAGCCATGGGCACCCATCCATGCAGCCCTTCCTCCCCCTCGACGGCATGGCCCAGCCATCCACTGATGTTGCTACTGGGCGCGGTTGGGCGCGGGACTTGCGTCAGGTTGTGGGGGTGGTTGCTTCCTTCTCGAAGGCGTTCCAGCGTCGTCTTCTTTCTTGAAGCTTGATCGCTCGCTCGCAATGTTGGCTTTGGCAATGTCGGGACATATCGCTGGTTTGGCATTGCCGCTCTTGATTCGAGCTTGGATGGTTTTAGGTGTGTTGTTTCCTCCATTCGGCCGAGCATCTCTCGTCTATCTGCCTTCGGGACCATGTGAATTCACGTCTGCCTGCTTTCGTGTCATGTGCTGTATCCCTCACTATACCCACTCTATTCCTTCTATCAATAAAATGATTACGTAAGCTTTGCATATTTGCGAGAAAAAAAACTCAATTTGTTTGGAGCAAATCCTTCACCCACAGTGCCAAGTCAACGACCACGAAGCCCGGCCGTAGCCGCCGCTGTCCTACTACCTTGCGACCTTTCCTCCGTCACCACGGCGCTTCCACCCACGCCACGCCACGCCACGCCACGCCATCCTCCTCCCGCAAACCACCATCCGTCCGAGGTCCAACCACGTCGTCACTGCTCCCATCACGTGAAGAAGCCGCCAGCGGCGCCTTCCCACCCCCCACCGCGCAGCTTCCCCGCCCGACCAACTCACTCACCTGGCCGCTTTCCGGCCCCGGTGCCGAGCCTACATCCGGCAATAAACAACAAAAAGGTTCATCACGGCGCCACCTATAACACCCTCCTCCCTCCATCGCTTGACCATGCCGGGTCTTGTCCCCTCCTCCTCATCCGCCCACCTCCTCTCCCGCAGCCTCGCCGCCGCCAGGACGCTCTCCGCCGCCGCCGGTTACTCCTCCTCCCCCTCCCCCTCCTCTTCCGTCAAGGTAAATAACGCCCGCGCTCGGCTCGGCTAGGTGCTCGGTCGACGGAGTCAGTTGTGCTCAGTGGTTGGTGCTCTGTTCTTTTTGTCAGATGGCGCGCTCGGCGCTGGACGAGGTGACCGACACCGGCGCGTTCGACCGGACGCCGTCCACCTTCCGGAGCTTCGTGTCGAGGGACGCCTCCGCCCGCTTCCCCGCGGTGGCGGGCAGGTACCACCTCTACGTCTCCTACGCCTGCCCCTGGGCGTCCCGCTGCCTCGCCTACCTCAAGCTCAAGGGCCTCGACCACGCCATCAGCTTCTCGGTGAGCACACCTGCGGACCCAGACCAAACATCCGATGATAGAATTGATTTGAGCATCCGCTGATAGATTGCCTGCCTGCGAATCCCAGTCGGTGAAGCCCATCTTCGAGCGGACCAGGGAGTCGGACGACCACCTGGGGTGGGTGTTCCCGGCCACCGCCGACGAGGTGCCCGGCGCCAGCCCCGACCCCTTCAACGGCGCCAAGAGCGTCAGGGATCTGTACGAGATCGCGAGCACCAACTACACCGGCAAACCGACTGTCCCCGTGAGTCTGAATCTGGGCTCTTCTCCTCAATCCTCATCCCCACTCGACTGGACACATGATCTGATCGAGCAGGAAATGGATCTTTGGTCGCCATGGCAGGTGCTGTGGGACAAGCAGCTGAAGACGGTGGTGAACAACGAGAGCAGCGAGATCATCCGGATGCTCAACGCCGAGTTCAACGACATCGCCGAGAACCCCGGGCTGGACCTCAACCCGGCGCACCTCCAGGGCTCCATCGACGAGGTCAACGGCCTCGTCTACGACGCCATCAACAACGGCGTCTACAAGTGCGGCTTCGCCAAGAAGCAGGGGCCATACGACGAGGCCGTCACGAGGCTGTACGAAGCTCTGGACAAGTGCGAGGAGATCCTGGGCAAGCAGCGGTACATGTGCGGCAACCAGCTCACGGAGGCCGACGTCCGCCTCTTCGTCACGCTCATAAGATTTGACGAGGTATTGGTTCGCTGCTGCTGCCCTTTGAACAAGCCTATTTGATACGCGGTTGCTTGAAATTATATTATCCTGTGGCAATGCCATGCCAGTTTTGTGTTTGTGCATATCCATCCCCTGCAAATGCTGGCCACGAATCTAGTGGACGCAACTGACAGCTACTCCCTCCGTTTATATTAGCTGTTGCTCAAACGGATGTATTTAGCACTGAAATACATATAGATACATACATTTCAGAGACAACTAATGTGGAACGGAGGGCCCTCCGTTTCTAAATATTTGTCTTTTTTAAAGATTTTAAATAAACTATTACATACGGATGTATATAGACATATTTTAGAGTGTAGATACTTTCATTTTGTTCCGTATGTAGTCATTTGTTGAAATCTCTAAACAGACCTATATTTAGGAATGAAGGGAGTACATATATGAGATGCGATGGTTCTCTATCTGCTTCTGCCTTCGGTTCTGTTTGGTACCCCCCTTTTGTCCCTCTTTAGGGATACTCCCTCTGTTCTGTTTGGAAATAAGTGCCGTGATTTTAGTTTAAATTTGTGTTAGCTGAGTTCTTAACTGCAAAGTCGTCAAATTTGGCGGAGATCTCAGAAAGAACAAATAGGAATTATAATAAACAAAATACACTAGTACTGCTACACTAAAAATCAGGGGACTGTCTGAAATGCAGAATTCGTGATGAAAAAAAATTCAGGAAAAGTGAGAATTTTAACATTAAAGTTCAGAATGTGCATATTATATTCAGAATATCTACTCCTACTTAAATTTGAGTTTCATGTGTATATCAAGCTATTCTCGCAAACTTCTTTTAGCAAGAACCATACCACATACTAAGAAATCAAATGCTACGACCTTCCATGTCGAAACATACATACATTTTGATTTATGACCCATCGAAACATACATTTTGATTTTTTGACCCGCGGTTCGTTCCTCTTTTCAGGTTTACGCGGTTCACTTCAAGTGCAACAAGAAGCTGCTGAGGGAGTACCCCAACCTGTTCAACTACACCAAGGACATGTACCAGATCCCCGGGATCAGCAGCACGGTGAACATGGAGCACATCAGGAAGCACTACTACGGGAGCCACCCCTCCATCAACCCCTACGGGATCATCCCCCAAGGCCCCAACATCGATTACAATGCGCCACATGACAGAGAAAGGCTGTTCCTGTAAAGACAAACGCCGTTTGCTTGTGTGCTTGAGGATGCTGTGATGTGATTTGCTTTGCTTGTGTCCGAAGCTGAAAGCCTCCTCTCGAATAATGATTTCTGTCTTTGCTGTGCGCTGGGAGCAGCATGCGTGTCATAAAGGCTCTCTGCATCCGTGTCGTTCTCATCCATTAATCTAAATGCATGAGAATTACACCCCTTAAAAGAAATGCAATCAGATGAGTGCAAAAAGAAGCAAGATTCACCATCTGATCTCGTTCCAGATGACAACACAGTAGATGTAAATCAAGACAAAAGATACCAATGGTTGTATTACACAGAAAATATCAAATCAAATAAGAAATTACTGAACTATATTAATGAGAAAATCACACCATACATACAGAGGCTTTCACAAATATTCCATACGGCTCAAAAAATGTCTTAGGAAAAGTCATGGACGGGGTAGAAAAATGATGGAAGTTTAAGAAATGCGCCTGCACCATCTCCTGTCCATCATCATATAACTGCAGTGCACTCCACGCTCCTGAAAGGGTGATATTGGCATGTTTTACAAGATCAATGTGAAAACGCACTTTGTTTTCCCTGAAAAATAGGCGTTCTATCTCTTTTATAATGGGTAAAATCTAACCTAAATATAATGTACATACAATAGTGGAACTAACAGGTTTATACATCAGTCATCAAAAATTTGATTTAAAATTTGGCAGGGGCCGCGCGAACGCGTACCCTCTCTATCATAAATTATGACGTTCATTCTCCCACTTGGGGAGATGATAGGCCGGCGCACCAACCAAGTGCAATGTTGGCCACTAACCTAGGCCATGACCCTTCTTCATCGGCCATAGACCCCGTCCAGGTAAGTATGTTGCAACGGAGCATTAGGCGCTGATTATATAGTGAGGGTGCTCCCTCCATCAACCTGTAGCAAGCGAGGTGGTACTAATGACGGGTAATTAGCGCATCTGTCCTGCGGCCTTGGCTTCAAAAGATCGGGGCTAATTCGAACTGAATACCACACATGGCCCGATAGACTTCCATGGGTCAACCAGCCTCGTTGTTCGGCTGAGGACCAGACGGCCCGAGTCCTATTGACGCTTTATGCGTCAAATAGTTGGGGAAACACCAGTACCAGCCTAAATGGGCTGGAAGGGACCCCTCAAAAAAATATAGGCTGAAAGGGGAGCGGTCCTTTTAGTTTATTATTTCTTTTTTATTAGACCTAAAAATATTCGTTTTTTAATTGGAAAAGTGATATACATTAATTAACAGGTTTAAACTGGGTTATATAAGTTTAAAATATGTTTATAAAATATTGTTAAAAGTAAATCAAATATTGGTAATGGTACTGTGACTTCTTCTAAACATTTTTTTAACATAGTGTATTCGCAAACGCTCAGACATACGTAAATACACCCATTCTATGAACGCGCGCACACACACACCCTATCTCTATGACTCTATGAGTACCTTCGAGACACTGAGCCGACACAACCTTTAGATTAACGAAGTCGCCATATAGACCTTTGTAGTCGACGAAAACATCTCCTCCCATTGAACCCACATCGCCGGAAGGCCTGAAATAAATCCAAAAAATACGAGCACCAGTGTCAAGTCTGAGACTTAAAGTCTGATGCGGATACCATTATCCTTCAAACAATCCAACAATAGATTGGTTCGCTTCTTCTAAACATTTATTTGAAGAACATCATATGTTAAAAAATGTTCATTGTGTATTAAAAATGTTTAGCGTGCATCTTGAAAATTTGTTGCGTACTTGGAAAAATGTTCATCATATATTAAAATAAAAATACTTATTTCATACTAAAAATGTTCAACACATATTTATAAATCACTCATTGTATATTTGAAAAATGTTTGTAGTAAAAATATTTATGGAAAAGACAAATTAAAAATGAAAAGGAGAAAGGAAACTAAAACCGGAGGAAAATAAAGAAAGATTGTAAGTAAACAGTAAAAAGGATGAAAAAAATAAAAATAAAATAAGAAAAGGCGAATAACAATGATAACTGATGAAACGGAAAACCAGACAAAAACCAGTAGCAAAACAAAAATTGAAACCAAAAATCAAGAATAATTGGAAGGCTTGTAGCACTAATAAAATGTCGCCGTTCTTCTATAACATATGACACGCACACTCGTATGTATTTGAGAAGAAAAAAAACGTCGTCATCGAGCCGACCCGTATCGGTCGCACAACGGTCACCCCCATGCGCCGCAACATCTATTTGCCGCTACGAGCATGACTTAGGAAATGTCACAGCGTGTGCATCATCCGCCTGGACAATACATGCGATGAGGCCTTATTCTATTACTCAGAAAGCAGGGCGGCGAGAAGTTTTTTTTTTTTTGAAACATAGCAGGGCGGCGAGAAGATGGTGGTGATATCTACCATTGGAGGTGGATGTCCTCTGTGCCCCGTCTGATCGTATAATCTATTTGAGCATGTTTAGTAGTACTACTTAGCTAAAATTTCTCAATGACCTCCGTTAAAAAAAAAGATTTCTCGATGACCTGACTATTTTGTTGACAATTTTTTTTATTGTCAATGACCTGATAGTCGCATGTGAGACTTGATTGTATTCGATCTGCTGTCTTCTGTTTGGTGTGCTCATGATTTTTTGTCCACAGAGATGGTGATGGCTTTCTTTCATCCTCTGTTTTTTTCGTGCTTTTTGTATGCTCTAATTCTTCTTTTCTTTCGATCCGCGCGACAGGTGTTGTAGAGGCGAGTTCCTGGAAACGACCGGTTTCATTTTTTGTGTTTTATTTTCGTGTCGAGGCCGCTTCTTTGATGGACGAGGTTCAAATGTTTTATCAAACAAAATATTTGTAACAGAAAATAATTTTCATTTATTTTTAGATCTCTATCACTCATGCAGTTTGGCATTTCAAAACAAGTGCGTGGACCCGGGTCGTCGTGGAACTTACATAGTGGTCGGCAAAGACTAAGATGTTCATCTTTTTCATGAGGTCGTAAAAAATAGCTTCACACCCATGCTCATTTTCTGATAAAAGATGGATTCTTTTTGTTTAAAATGAAGCATCAAGAAGATATATAAATACAATGATAATCATACACACGTCCAATACTAACTTGCACACACGTAAAAACACGCCAGCAAGGCAACTAACAAAATCATATAAGACAAAGGCTATGAGAGCATCTCCGGCCGTTGCGCTCCCAAGACGCGCCGAAAACCGTCGCTTGGGTGCGAGCCGACGCTATTTTAGGCTTGGGTGCTAGTGCGTTCCCAGCCGCCGCCTCCCCAGGTCGCCCCCAGGCACCGATATCGGCCCAGTATCGGCGCTTTCAGCCCATTTTCGGCGCTGGATTGGCCCAAATTCCGGCGCAAAACAGCCCACGCTCGACGTGTTTCGGCGCTCATTCAAATAAAACCATCAAAAAAATCATCACAAATAATAAAAACACTCATATTTCATTGCATGTCTAGCTAGGCGTTGCCCTTGAGTCTTCATAGGTGCTCCACTAGATCCTGCTGCAGCTGATGATGCACCTGTGGATCTCGGATCTCCCGACGCATGTTGAGGAAGGCCATCCATGTTGCAGGGAGCTGATGATCCACTTGGACAAGAGGACCCTGCCTGTAATATGGTTCAATGTCAAACACTGGCTCTTTCTGCTCGCTCTCAATGATCATATTGTGCAAAATGACACAACAAGTCATGATCGGCGTCAGGAGGATCTTTCTTTGTTTCACGGCAAGGAATGGCGAGATAGCGGCGGCGGCGGCGGAGAGGTGGCTGGCGACGCCGGGATCGGCAGGGTGTCGGGAAAGGAAAGGAGAAAATGGGGCGAACCAGTGTGACTTTTCGCCTGACAGTGGGGAGCCGGGCGATTTTCCCTTCCGCCGGCGCCCCCAAGCGCCCCCAGTGCGTCGGGTTCGGCCTGAGCGCGCCGGGTCAGAAAATGGGCCGATCCGGCGGATTTCGGCGTCTTGGGGGCGCGACTTGTCCGTTTTTTCGGCGCCGGAGCTAAAAAAGCGGCCTTGGGGGCGCGGCTGGAGATGCTCTGAGTAGGAGAGGAGAAAAAAGAAAAAAGTCTTAAAGCGGCCAGATCTACAATCCGGAACTACAACAATGACCTTATCCACATCAACCATCTCATGACATCACATGGACAACAAGATTCATCAACAACAACGCCTTTAATAAAGGAGCGACACTCAAGCGTCACTGTTACGGAATACAACCACAAGGCCAAGATCTAGGTTTTCACCATGAAAAAAATAGTCCGAGCACATCTGAGCAATGTCTTCAACAAAATAATGACATAAGAAAAACATCGCCATTGCCAAGTATAACCATTCAGGTCTAACTTAGATTTTTGCTCGGAGCTCGAGACAGAGTGCTCGAGTAGCACCAGCATCTTACCCATGTATTATCACCATTACTTTTTCACGACCCGAACAACTGCATGCGATACAACCGCCGCCACTGCACAACCGTACATATGTGTGAAGCCGTCGTCCATAATTTGTAACTCACCGCCTAAGTCAGTCACCAGATCAGGAAAGATGACCACTCCCAAAGACCTTTCAATGACTGCCATTGTCGTTGGGCGGTAGGAAATCACCGCAGTACAATTTGCAGTCACCACCATCCGTCTAATCAGATCTGGATCGCCACCACCAAGCCGTGGACCATAGCACCGTCGTTCAGCCACTGCACGTACCAAAGGCCAGCACCTCGCCACTGCGGTCTACGGGGCTCCTGGTGCTAAATCCGATTAGATCTGACCGAAGACTTATTGGAGATATGAGCAATTTACCATATGATTTAACTAAAATGAACAGTAGATAAAACATGACCATAATAACAAAGACGAGACAAGTCATACAATCTAACAAAGAGTAGGACAACAACATCTGAATTTGTGAACTTGATCAGAACATATCTGGAACAGATGCTAGAACAAGAAACTCTAGCATGAACTCAAAGAGAAAAGACATGAACATATATTGAGCAGTGGCGGTAGCATTGACGTTGTTGTCACCCATGTTGTCGAAGAGGTTGTCGATGTTGGGGAAGTGATCGTCGGCGTCTGTGATGTCTGTGATGAAGAGTTCAGTAGTCGCGCAAAGTGCTTCCCAAAAACCTTATCACCCTTCTTCCATACAAGACTCAAAATGGTGGGGTTTCAAAGGCCTGCTGTCTTGACCTGCGGTGCATGCCGCAAGCCGGGTTGGGAAAGAATATGGCGGTAGCCCAGTGGTTGGAACTCAGTGGCTCGAGGCAGATGATGTTCTAGTGTGTCTCTATGGAGAGGAGCGACCTCTCTTTTATAGGCACATGAGGAAGAGACGATCTGGCAGTGACAGGAGGTGAACCAAAGAGATGGAAGATAAAACGAACATGCAACAGCCGAAGGGTGCAATGTCCGTATTCAATCTCCACTAAAGCAAAAATGTTTCAGCTCCCATGTGACCTTTTATGTACGAGTCATGCATCGCAAAAGTTTAGACAACGACTCAACTCATTCCCGCAACTTGCAGCACGCGCGCGTCGTGATGAGGCATGATGAGGCGGGCGACGAAGGAGGAGCGCGTGTGTACGTCTCTCTTTTTCTCATCTTCATACATGTGGGAAATTAATATCCCTTATAAGGAGGTCTGACTCCTACTAAACTAGCAGTATAAGACTAACTTTAGGGCAGATCCTGTTTGGCGCTTCAGGCGTCTGTTATTGTGGATTTCGCAAAAGGGCGCGTGAAGCCCTCCAAGCTGGGCTGGCCCGTTTGGCTATTTTTTCTTTACTTAAATTTCGTGATTTTTGTACAAAATCAGTGAAGTTTTTTAAAAAAGATGAATTTTTTCTATTTTGTGAACTTTTTCAGAACTGGTGAAATTTTTTCAAAGTCGATGAATTTTACAAAATGTTATGCAAAATGATGAACTTTTTTTTTCAAAATTGTTGAACTTTTTTCAAATTCAATGATCTTTTTAAAAAATGATGATTTTTTTCAAAATAGATGAACTTTTTGAATTTGATGAACTTTTTTTCAATTTGATAAACTTTTTCAAGTTCATGATTGTTTTTAAAATCCATGAACTTTTTTAATTTACTTTTTTTGCGATTTTTTCCTGTTTTTTGTTTTTTTCTCAAATGTGAACGTGTACATGGGCCAGCCCACCAGCGCCGGCGTGTGAACGCCAGGGAGATTCCCTGGCGCCTGAAGTGCCGAGCAGGAGTTCTCAAATTTAGTCCCACCTCTTGCCTTGTATGAATGGACTAAGTGGGCCTCTAGAATTTATTAGGAGTTCTGAAAATGGTTATTGGGCTGGCTCAAAATAGGCCAAATTCCAGCAAGACTAGCCCGCACACAGAGCCGCCACCGCAATTAGGGACGCGCCCCTAGCCATGGTGGAGAGCACCCTGCACATCCAATCCCACTCCGGTGTGAAGAACTTGGCGAGCTCCTAGATGCTGCAAATCGGGACGTAGGGGTCCCATGAGGATGGAGTGGCAGAGGGAAGAAAGGATTAATGGCTTTCTTCGA